ACTACTATCTACTTCTACAGGCTTTGTGGATGGCCTGGAAATGGGAAACAACACAAAAGTAAGTGCATACGATGTTTAATGGTATGCTTAAACCCTTCTTTTGTTTTTTGACTTTTCTTTCACTTTTCATGCCAATTATTAGGCTGCCATAATGAGAATTGGTCTTAAAGAAATGAGAGCTTTGTCCAAGCTGTTGTTTCTGTCTGTTAAGGATAGTACGTTTTTTGAAAGCTGTGGGGTCGCTGATCTCATCACAACTTGCTGTAAGGAACTTGATGCATCCATTTTTTCTCTTCAGTTAATTATTAGCTTTGGTAGTGAGTTATAGTGACAAATAATTTGTGGTAGTAGGAGGAAGAAACCGAAAAGTTGCAGAGGCGTTTGCTAAGAATGGAGGGCAAAGGTTAGTCTTTACACTTCAACTTACATAAAATAATAACATGCGAAGCAATTAATTCTGACCTTGTTGCGGATCTATGTAGGTCCTTTGATGAGCTTGAGGCTGAGATGTTGCAGGGCCAGAAATTACAGGTGGATCCTAAATCCAATCATTTTAACAAAACTAAGTAAAGGCTTTTATTTAAAGAGACATGGCTCCATTTGACATAATATTTTTTTTGGTACATTAGTAGAGTTTTTGACATATCTTGTTCGTTGAAATGTAGTCATATGTTGCCTAATCTTCTATGTGTAGGGTGTGTCAACAGCAAGAGAGGTGTATGAGGTTCTAAGCCACCGTGGATTGCTAGAGTTGTTTCCGCTTTTCACAACAGTGCATGAGATATGTACTGGTCGTCTTCCACCATCAGCTATAGTTGAATATAGTGGGCAGAAACCCAAATTGTCCCTGTTAAAGGCTTCTGTCAATTGTCATTGACTTCTTCACGGACATACCTACATTTGAGACGTTAATGGAGCAGCATTTGTTAAGTCACCATTCAAACACACAGAAGAGGAAGCAAAAGACCCATTTTCAGACTAAAACAATAAGGCCTGGTTCGAGAGTTGAAATGCAACAGCCGTTAAGAGTTGTCCAAGTTGAACTGATGGAGTGTCATGTTAAGCTCGGATGCAACACAAATAGTACAATGAAAGAAGTTGAAAAACTCTGTTCTTGACATATTTCATTCAGAGCAAGTGAAAGCATGCATGTAGTTATGTTTTGAACTGGTTAAGTGGCATGGACAAGTAAACTGTTTCCATTACGATAAGGTAAAAGAAAGGACAAGGTAACTACACAGCCCCAACATCATCATAAATTTAAAAGAAAGAAAAGAAAAGAAAAGAACAAATTAATCCCACCAACACCAAACAGTTGAATAATTTTACATTTTGTTTCTAAGGAATGTTACCCAGTTCGTATTCTATCTAACCGGTCAACACTTTTCCGTCCTCTTTCCAGCTGGTGGTCGATGCTTTTCCGGGACTTCTCATGGCAATCTACACTCCTTCGAGATCTTTCTAGTTGATCAAATGAGATTCTCAATTTTTCTAGCTTATCCATGTTGTTGGACTGGTTTTTCAGCTTTTCAGGCCTGTCAGTGCTCTTCCTAGGTTTCTCTCTTCGATCAGTGCTCTTCCTTGAAACCTCGAAAATGTCTGTACTTTTTCGAGACTGCTCAAACTGGTCTGTGCTTCTTCTGGACTTGTACCTCTGAGAAGGAGATTTCTCCACGGTTGAAATGAACTTCTTCAGATGCCTGATAAACTCAGGATAATGCTCTAGATCACAGTGGTTCCCTCCTTTTAGCCATAGCGGTTCATACTTCTCTTTACACAGTTCCCAGAGTTGCTTCCCATGAGACCAATCAACAACTTCATCTGATGTTCCCTGAATAATATTATACAAGGACCTTAAATATGGAAGATATACCATCAACAGTAAAGATACTATTTTCAGTTAATTGAAGGGCAATTTGCAATCATCTCCTAGTCAGTAAACATATGCAGATACATGAAAGAATGCAGATACAGAAGCCTCATAATTCTAAGCAATCATAGAACTTGAAGAAAGTGCAACGATAATAATAGTTCCTTTAGTGCTTTTTAAGTAGTGAGGAACGTTAAAGACCAACATGTAGAAGCATAAAGATGAAAAAGACCAACCTAACTTTAATTAATTAGAACAGTATTTACTTGTAAAGTAGTTTGTCTGGACTGACAATTATTTACAGAGTCACAACATGACAGCTAACATTTTTGTTTGGATTTGAGAAATCCTCATGGGGTTTGTCTAGTGCAGATCTTGATTTTGACAGACTTGACTGAAAAGTTTTGGACCTTTGCCAAACTACCAAAGAGGGATGCAGCAATGGTAAAACTAGCCAGTAATATTCAACCTCATTGTTCAATATTCAACTCCTCACTTTTCAACCTAAATAGATTTTGCATTAGATTCCATTGCAATGAAAAGAACTTGAAAGGAAATGAAATGAAATAACAAACAATATAATGGTCCAAACATCCACAACTGATACGTGTGCAATGTGCATATGGCAGATATACGACACACAGAATACATAGAATCAATAAGCACATGACATCACAGAAGATCATACTTACGTGAATGATAAGAACTGGACAATTGACCTGTGGAATTTTATCAATATTCTGCACTCAAAAAAAACAAAAACACTCAGTTACAATCAAAATATTCATATATAAACCCTGCTAAATATCAGAATAATAAACAAGGAGACTGATTAAGGATAACATTACCTTATATATGTCAAACCAATATGTTCGTTTTACAGGATACATGACTCTTAAGCCAGAGAGTATAGGACTATGCAGCACGACAGCTCTTAACACAGGCAGCCTAGGAGCTAGATCCAAAGTCGGGCCACTTCCAACAGACTGGCCATAAAGTATGATATCTTCCTGTTTTGTGCCATAACTTTCTTCAAGACATTTATACGCAGCTTCAATGTCAGCATATGTATTCTGCTCGCTTGGCTGCAACACAACAAATGGATTTAGAAGATCCATCCGGCTCCTAGCATTCTCACTAAATCTTTTAGAACAAGGAATTTTTTTCAATCCTATTAAAGATTTTCATATACACAACATACCTTTCCAGATGATTGCCCATATCCTGAGTAGTCATACCTGCACAAAATCATAGAAATCTTTATGAGAGCTGCAACTTTTTAAGCTTAATCAGTTGACAGAAAGGGGGTGATATATACACACCATACTATATCATCTTATACCATACTATATCCTACATCTAGATAGACAATTGGGCAAACAAACGACAATCCTGTCCTAGGCATGGAGTTACATACAAACCCTAGACCTTAGGACATGCTACTGCTAATTGCAAAATATAAGAATGTTAATCTACTTATTTATGCTACAGTCACACAGCAATTGATCAAGCTCTAACTGCACCACCAGCAAACACTAATCAATATCATCTGAACTACTACCAATTCTGGAAGTAAGA